CTCTGTCTGTCTCTTTCTGTGCCCCCCCCGCCCCGTATGTGGTTGTTGTCTCAACACACAATATCTCAGCCACTGCTTCAGTGACATGCTTGCCCGTCTCTGCTGTCACGCTCCTGGCCACGGTGGTTATAGACTCTAGCCCTCTGAAACTGTGAGCCCCAAATAACGTCTTTATTTTATACATTTATTTTATAAGGTAATGGTGGTCCTTACTATCAAGGAGATAGTAAGGAAAATTGTAAAGTATGAAGATGCATGGTCAAGGAAAAATGAATTCCCTTTTCTCTTAAAACAGGACTGTTGCTCTAAGCTAAGAACATACGGCCAACGTGGAATGGGTTAGAGTCTGTGAAAAGAGCGCTCTGTGGGCCTAGCTGGCTGAGCGTGGGAGAGAACTGTTTGGAAGTCTTCCTAGAAGTTGAGCATTTATGCTAAGGCTCACTGTAGAACTAGAACTTGCTCTTCTCGTGTTCCTGGTACACTGGATGACGCTCAACAGGAAGTGTGAAGGATCTGTTGTTATTGTTTCATTTGAGGTAGTTGGCCCAAGAAGCAAAGATTCACAGAAATGACCAAGACCATTTCCTGAGCTTCATGCTGTATTTGGGACGTTTTCTTAAAGCACTTAAGGAAACCAAGTTCTCTTTACTAACAGATCCAAGCTTACCCCACAGTTATGTGATTTTTAAAATTTAGCTTGAAGTGTTAATATCACTGTGGTTAAATGAAGGACAATTATTGACCTGCAATTCTACCTTGACCAAATGTGTTAAACTTTTGATATGTTTATGACCTTTTTCAAATTAAATCATGTTTTTCTTTACCTTGAATTAATTTGAGGTCTTTCAGAAAGTTCCTTGGACTTTCTCAAAGACATGATCTATATTTCTATAAATAGAATGGTAGCAAATTAATTGGGTGAATTTGATATATAATATGGGATGCACAGTCAAATAAGCACTGTTAAAAATCTCTTTGAGTTGCATTTGTGTCGATGTGTTAATATTTCAGAAATTATGTGAGATTTGTAGAAATGCTCCTAATACGTCACCAGCAGTCATAATTCTGATATTTATCTTTAGCTGTATACAAGAGCCTGCAACAATGGCCCACATGTGGCCCAAATAATCTGGAGGCTGAGGCAGGAGGATCAGCCTGGGAGTTCCAGCCAACACAAATGACATAGCTACACGTCATATCATGTTTTGAGAAATTATATGAAGCAGAAATATCCAACTTTTCTTGTCAAGTGCTTCACTGCTGTAGTGAATTTTCATCAGGTTCAAGTCATGGCCATTTTACGTCTTGTCACGGGCAGCTGTTTGCTCTGTGTCTGCTTAGTGTTGAGAGTCGTGGAAGGATTCTAAGTACAGAGTTATTTCTAAGGATGTTCCATGGGGTAGCTAAAACTTATAATTCTAGTGAAGAAACAAAATGGCTCATAAATATGAAGCACAAGACTTAGGTACAAAGGAGAGTGGTTTGGCAGATTTTCATTCCAAGTAAGCTAGGAGTGACATTGTTGAGCTGTGCAGTTACAAGGAACTCCACTAGATGGACCCAAATCAAATATTTATATACCAGCCTGGCTAATAAGCAGTTTCAGGCACCCGAAGGTAGACAAGCAAACTGGTGTGAAGGATGTAAATGCATTGCAAGCTTGATCTTGGGGTAGCTTGGATGTCTGCGTGGATGTCTGTCTGTGTGGATGTCTGTCTGTGTGGATGTCTGCGTGGTGATACTGTGTCCTCATAGCTTCCAACGGCAAAGCTCAGCACTGCAAGACTCATCATGGAGGAGCTGAAATAAGTCAAACACTGACAGACATCAGTGGAAGGCTGCTCTATGAAAACTGCACAGGAGGCTCATGGCTGACGTCAGGGTAGTCGCACCCATTTTGGTAAGATAATTAAAACCTCATATCTTATCAACTCTTGGACGATTTGAACAGTTTGAGGTTCATTCATTTGCTGATTTCAGTGTTTCTCTTCTAGGTGGATGGAAGTGTTCCTTTACAGAACGGCTAATGCTATAAATAGCTACTGTGATGAAAAATGTATTTTCCTCTTAGGACATCTCTTGCCCCACCCCCTCCCAATTCTTCAGCAATAGTAATACTTGTTTCATGGCACCAGTGTCACAGACACAGTAGCATTAAGCTCCTGGATTAGCCAGATTGCCCGTCAATGGTGTTACCAATTGGTGGCAATTGGATCCACTCCCGTGGGAGAGCACAGACTTACTAAGCCTTGTGATGAAGCCACTGCAAGGCCACACTCCTGGTGATAGATTCCAAGTGTCTCTCACTCCATGAATGAGTGAGATGTGGCTCGGTAGTTAAAGCCAAAGCACGTAAAATAAACCCTTCACAGCCAACTGATGATGGCCTGTACTTTCACGACCTGGATCCTGAAATGTCTTTTAGAAGTGACACCATTAAGTGGCTCCCTCTGTTGGAAGAGACCATACCAGTGTTTGTTCTGCTACAAAACATCAGAGCCCCCAGTCCTACATGAACAGCTCTCAAGTCTCTTGAAACTATGATTCTGTTGGGAACCTTAGAGCAAACCTGACCAGGAATGTTTCTCCCAATAAACAGAAGACATCCTTGGTAGGGATAGTTAACTCGTGGATCAAGACCGATCTGTTACTGAAAACCCTTTTTCTTCCATCACCAACTTTCCCTATCCCTTCCACTTCCTTATGAGGAGATACGTAACAGTACCATGGAGGCTACTCTAGGCTAATGTCATGCAGCAACAACAACAACAACACAAAGACAAAACAGCAGCTATTGGGTTTATGGGCTAATCAATACCTCCAAATCAGGAATCCCTGCTACTATGGCCAGTGTTGCTCTATGTTACTAATCCATCACCGTGACCCCAGAAGAAGAGGAGAAAACTCTCTTGGATATGCTGGGCAGCACTACTCTGTGCCTCATACACTCACTGGGAATACAGCCTCGACTCTCCAGTTAGTAACTTAGTCATCAGCAAATATAGGAAATCGATCTCAGTGATGTCTGCGAGGGGTTGATTTTGAGCACACAGGTCACATGATCTATATGACCACTAAATTCAGGAAAGTCTCTTTCTGCCACATGATCCTATGCACCTTCACTTCATGCTAAGGGACCAAGAGAATGCTTTCCAGGTGACCTTGTTCAAGAGCTAAACAAACTCAGGAGTGAACAAATGTGACAGAGTTCTGCTCAGATGACCCTAGGTAGCCATGTTTTTCAGTCCCCAAGGACCAAGGTTGATCTAAGGAGAATCTCTCCACTCTATTCGGCTTCTCTGCTCGTTTAGCACTTGCTGTCTGACACAGCTCTCTCTTGCCTTCTGAATAGTTTTCCTTAACATCTCCACACTTCCCACAAGCATACCAAAGCGGTCAATATCCAAAATCAGTTCTGACCATGCAGTAGGCAATAAGCAAGCTTCCAAAAATCAGTTCCAACCATGCCATGAAGAGAAGTGAGCATGTACTGAGAAAAAGCCCTGGTGACCCTGGATTCACCCTAGATTCACCCTGAATTCACCCTGGATTCACCCCAGATTCACCCCGGAGAGAAGGTGGCGTTCTTGTATGGTACTTGAAGCTAAGATGTAAGTTTGGAGAAATTTTGTTGTTGTAGTAAATCAGAAATGTTGTGTGATGTTCAGAAATGTGAAAAGCACTCTCAGAAAGATGGATGAGAACACTTATGCTTGTCCATTTGTGGAACAAAATTAAGCTGAATTCAGTTACAGCAATAGTTACAACAACAACAATAATAATATCATCACAATAGCTGATGAATGTTGGTGAATGTTACCAATAGCTAAGTGTGTCTCTAGGTTCCCATGGCCTGTTATCAGGCTAGCTACAAAGAGACTTAAAGTTGGTGGATTTCACAGCTGGCTGTGGTCCTTAGTCACCACCAGAACCCAAACAAAAATTCTGACCAATAGCAGGAGTAGAAGACTTTGAACTCTCTTAATCCAATGTTTAGATTGTTTGATTATGGTCAGTTTGAGTCACAGAGACAACCATAATAAGGACTGTCCTGAATTTCATAGTATCATTTTCTTGATATCATCATGTCATATCCCTTCAAAAAATATAAACAGGGCTGGTCATGGTGATGTATATCTATAATTCTAGTATGCAAGAGGCTGAGGCAGGAGAATACAGAGTTTGAAACCAGCCTGGGCTATATAGCAAAACTGTCCCTTTGGGGGAGAGGGGTCATAAATGTTCCAATCCACCACCCTTTGTAGTTTAAACAGTAAATGAGAACATGAAGAAAACTTAACAGTGCAATGAATTGAGAGTCTGTTTGGATCAATCAATTAGTGAATTGACAGAAAAGCTTTTCAGTGTTTAAGGTTTCAGTCAGTTTCGAATTTTGAGAAGCTGTTAAAGGGGTCGGAGGTAGCTTTCTCCTGGAGGAACCCAACCTTCCAACTTCCCCAGAGCACATTTACCAAGCAAGTAACAGGGAATTTTTCAGTTTACACAGAGATTGACAAAAGACACTTCCGATGAGACATTTTGCTCTAAGAAAATGTCTGAAGAGCAGCAGGATTGATTTCGATAGGATGGTGGGGAGAATAAGACACATTCGGGCCCTAACACTAAAACGCCTGTGTGACCAAGAAAAAGCCGCTTTCCTCTTGGGCCTATTTGCAAAACCAAGTGGATGGCCGCCCAGAAATGGAAGTGCTAGGAGAAAAAAAATGTTTATTGTGTAATAAGTGATAGTTCAGAGTGCAGTGGCTACAGACCCAGGCAATGCTAGGAAAGCTTGCTGCTGTTAGAGAACAGTAAGATCAATTTCGAACTGGACAGCAACCCTCAGTGATTAAAATAGCGCCCATGAGATAGCTGATGAGCCTGAAGTGCCCAGAGTCACAGAAGGAACGTGCAGGCAGCGAAGGCGAGAGTCCCGCTGGGAAGGTCCCCTGCAGGAGGCTCGCGCCCCAGCCTGGGAGGGGTGCAGCCTCAGCTCTCACCAGCCCCAGGAAGGCGGCGTACAGGACCGCGGTGGAGAACCAGCGCAGCGCGCTCCTGGCCCGGCCACTCCGCCGGGAGGCCACCGCCTCCTGGTCATTCTGCGCTGGGGTCTCGGTCTGGAGGAGGCGCTGCCCAGCAGCCGCAGCCCTGAACCCACGGAACTCCACTTCCAACTCCAGCTTGGCGACTCCAGGCTACTGGTCTTGCCGCTGCTGAGCTTTTCGGCAGACCCTTCTGGAGCTCTGAGCTCGCGTCCTTCCAGGCCCGGGAGGTTCCGCCTAGTGCCACCTTGCCCCAGGAACCTTTCTGTATTAGGTCAAGGAAAGTTGGACTTCGAACATGCCTGTGTTGCAAGAGGAAGACATTCAAGCCGCATCTTGCACCGGCCAGTGCGATCACGTGATACGAAAGAAGGATCCACCCAATGAGGGTGGGGTCTCCTGCTGGAAGCTAAGCGAGGTTACCCGGGAGACCGCTTGTAGCTCTCCGCTTGCAGCATCTCACCTAGCAGAACCACGGACACCAGCTGACTGATGGGTGCCGCTTGGCGGAGAAATTTGGAAGTGCAGCTTCGAAACAGAAGATGCTAAAATGTGGCAGGCAGGCAGGTCTTTAATTCCAGCATTTGGGAGGCTAACGCAGGAGGATGACTAGTTGGAGGCCAACAAAGAAAGACCCTGTCTGAAAAAAATGCGGAACTTGTAGGTGCCTGCGTCCCTCTAACCTCACTAGTATGTTCTGCTAAGGAACTGTAAAAACACCTATCAGAACCACCCGGGAGCCATGTAGCATACTCAGGACTCCCTCCCTCCCCTCCCCTGCCCTGTCCTGCTCTGGAACTCCCCAGCAGGTCCAGGACAAGAAAACAGATGCAAAGCCCAGCATATGCATGATAGCAACCGGTAGTTATTACAGGAGAGCAAAGTAGCGCTTCCTTCTCTGACTGTGGCTAAGATGGCAGAGACCAGTAGACTTCAGCACCTGGATGCAAATGAGGGCTGAGGAAAACTAAAAGTACTACCACCAAATTCTGGACAGGAACAAGGATTCCATGTTCCAAATGCTAGAGGCAGTGCAAGACCAGGATTGGAAATAGCAAGGAACAGTGAAAACATTTTGAGATGCTCTACCTCCGAGCTCCCCTACCCAAGGCACTTTACTTTCAAGGCCAACAGATCTTGACCTTGGTCAACTCCCTTTAAAACCTCTAGTTCTAAAACCAGGTCCTTGTGCAATGAGCCAATGAAAGGCCTCTTGATCTTCCACATTTAGGAAGACCTCAAAATTAAGTAATCCCTGTAGACGGCAGTCTGGAAAGATGTGAAGACGCTGTTCTCGGGAATGGACAGATGTTCAGAAATAATTCCGCCATGAGAAGACAAAATGGAGAAGACAAAATGGAGTAGTACATTGTCAAGACCTGTGTCGTCTTGACCAGCTGTTGCTGCTTCTAATCCACATGACATCAGCTGTGGCATTTCAAGTATGGATCCAACCACTGGAGGAACGTCAGAGGACATGACTCTCTTAGATGCAACTTCATTGACAGATTTAAAGGAACACAACTCTAAAAGAGGGGACAGTGGATGAGGGTAGAGTGGGAGGACCACGGTGGTGTCTTTATAAAAAGATAAAGAGATCAAGAGAGTCTGTCCTGTGGGTGTGTGGAGAGGTATGGGGGAAGGGGATGTCTCAGAGGGCCCAGCCGAGGCATCAAGGCATTTCTTCCCCCTGAGGGACCAGTCACATACCAGTATAGTATAGAATAGAGTTTATTCAGGGCATGGGGAGGGGAGCCAGGAAGGTAGTAGAGGCAGAGAG